CTAGACCGACCGCCAGGCCGGGAGAGCCCAAGGCCACAGACAAAACAGAGCCCACAGGAACACTAGAGAAGGGGACCACCAATCCATCCACCCCAGAGCCGTCCAGACCCCCAAGACCAGACCCCCAGTCCCACAGCCAGCCCGCGACCAACAGAGGCCACCGAACCCCAGCAAGGAAGGACCGGCGCGAGTGCCCACCCAGCCGCCGGCAGCACAAGGGAGGCACCGAGAGCGAGCTCCGCCACCACTAAGGGACCAACCAGCCACCCCAGTACAGCCCCCGGCCGCCACCAAAGGCCATCCACACATCCCCCACCCCAGAAGAAATACTACACCCACCCCAACATTCGTACAACTCTCAGAACATGTAGCACACTAGACACCCAGACTGGGTCAAACCACCCCGTCCATGGGTCACCGGCCCCGCACCCAGCCACCACCATCCCCCGGCCCACCAGTGCACCAAAGGCCCCCAGCCCAGAGCCGTGCACCGGGCACAAACCGGTGCACAGCCTGACAACCGCCCGCCAGGGCCCAAGCCACCCAGGCCCCACCAAGACCGTAGCCCAGGGGTAGTACGACCCCAAGACCCTAAGCCCCCCATGCCCCGCCCGAAGCCATCCAGCACGGCTAGACCACCGGATCGGCGACCCATGATGGCCGCTGCAGACCAGCTGAGGATCAGCACGTAGCCTCCAGAAGGTCCCCCCCAAAACCCCCAATGCCCCGCTCCGGACGAGATTAGGGTCCCCCCGCCCAGGAATCCCCAGCGACCCCGCCCCCGAGAATCCCCCCCGACTCCTCAACCCCTGATACCCTCCCACATCAGCCCCAAAGCCCCACAAGGCCCGATCCAAGGAACCCCACCATGTGATGAAGCGACTCTACCTGTTTCTGACTAAACTCTAGCGATAGCTTCAGGCTCTGGAACTCCTTATGGAGGACCTCGACCAAGGCGAGTCTGCCATCCAGACTAGTTAGCCTCAGGTCTATAGACTCTAGAATTCCGGTGATGCTTTTATCCGGAGACGCTGACGAGGAGTTCGCCGAGCACTCTGAGCAGGTACGCTTCGGAAACTATAGCTTTTTCTTATGCATAAATGTTGCATATGTAGTTATATATTTGATATTTGGATTTGTATATTTTTTGTTGTGTATAAAAAATGTTTTTGTTTTTAAATGTGTATAAAAATGTTTTTTTAAATGATATGTATAAATGAATAAACTAAATTAAACTAAATATATGCCATGCAGTATAAATCCACTTAAGTTGTTGAGATCAAACTACAAACAGCAGGCGGCCTCATTTTTCTGAATAATTAGTCTTCCTTTGGCTCAGATGAAAAGCCTGCAGTTCTGGTTGCACCCTATTTGTTTGATTAGGCGTTGTGTTGACCAGCATGTGGATGGAAGGCATGACTTATAGAAAATCTCTGCTGCAGCCTGATCCGGACCCAGGTTTAGATTTTGTCTATGCATTTTGCATTCTAAAAACAATCTCCTGTAAATTAGGTGGGAAGTCATAGTGACAGATCTAATCGCTTTGATCAAAAACTCAAACACCCTCATGGATAATTTGTCATGWAAACCTTTTGGTGGCTCCTTTGGGAGGTTTACATGTAAAATGTGAACATCGTTGTGATCAAAACAGAAAATATTAACTCAAAACAGTGGATAAATTGAAATCCCGTGTTGCCCTTTTTATTATTTAGCCCTGTGGCCTTCATTGTGACCCCCACGTGGCTGTTCTAGAGTTCAGACCAGGCTTTGCATGCATTGCTGGTTACAACACCATGGCTCAGGAAAGCAGGCTGAGCCCCGGTGGGGGTGGAGGGGGTCACAGCCGATTTGTGCGATCCAAACAATGGCCTCAGTTCTCTTGTCCCCCAATCTCCACACCTCCTCTATCCCTCTACATTTGTTCTCTCCAAATGRGAAAGAGCATGTGATCGACTGCTGTGTGGAGCAGCTTAAAGACTCCATTGGTACAGGGTTTTCGAAATCCTGCAAGGCCCCAAACTTGTTTTGGTAAATGCTTAAAGAAATGCACCAGGTTTTCTTTCTTTTGACATAATTAAGCTTAATGAATCATCAACAAGCAAAGGGAAATGCAAAGTTGAATAGTTATATATTAATACCAGTTTTTATACCCACTAACCAGACTCCTTAAAGTAAGAGTTGTAGAATGAAATAGTTTGCTTATTTGAAGTAATAATTTCTTTTGCTAAGCTCCGGTGCATCCTGTCCACTCCTACAAGAGTGAAGCCTTGTGTCCACCTCCTGCAGACCAACTATTTCTGGCTAGCCTTTCTGTCTTTTGTCACCCCCACCCTTTTCTTTTAGTTTTCCCCAGAAATGGTAATAACTTTCCACTCATTGGCTTCCCCTTTAAACGTTTACTGTAAACGGAGCAGCAGATGTTGGAGAATAAATCAAAAGGAGGAGCAAGAAAGAATGAAGGAGAGTAGTGAGGAGGAAGGACAGACCTGCAACATGTTCCACACAGAAAAAGAAATTTGAGCTGAGAGGAGCAGTTTCAACCAAAAACACTTAAAGTGCCTCCTGTTTGTTTAATATATATTTTTAGGTTTTTAGTTAATATTGTACAAACTGAACGTATTACAAATTCTGGCTTGACTAAGGTTATGATGAGCTGTTAGACTGAGTAATATTCTAATCTACAGTATGTCATAAGGCTGGAAACTTTATTCACGAAACAGTTCAGGAGTAGTAATAAGAAGCAAAGGTTCATCTGTATACCCATGTTTTTATCCTTTTTCTTTTCAGAATTTCTGTGGCTTACATGCCCCATTGAATTTGTATTATTTTTGCAGGGACTTGAAAGGCATTATATAAATTCAGGCCATTTACCAAGAAGACAACGACAGGCATTTTGGCAAACAAAAGAATATTTGGAAAAAAAAGGGGGAACGGAAACCAAAAGGAATTTCTTAATTCTGTTTGAGGAAGTGACTTTTGTGTGAGAATCGATTATATTTACAAAACCTGAAGGAAATGGCTGTATAAAACTTTTAGAAGTAGAACAGATAGAAAATCTTCATTTTTTATTCCATTTTAATTGATCTTTGAAGWAGTCATATAGCTTAGGTTGTCAGCATCACTTTGTTCATCAGGAGCTTTTGAGGAGGGTGTTGTGCAGAAAGTGGTGATATTTGTCTCTTTTTCCACAGACAGGGTCAGAATTGGAATTTCAGCTTAACAAGTCATATTACTGACTTGAGACAAAGGAGTCTAATTACAAAAACAAAGCTTTTCTGTTGCTTGTACATCAATAGCCTCAACTCTTAAAGCTTTTTGCATATTTTTTGCGATAAAATTATTACAAATCAGGCTTATGAAAATCATTCTCTTTGTTTTGTTTATTGAAGTAAAAGAGCCCTAAATAAAGCAACTATATTATGTAAATTTTCTTGTAGATTATACAGCAAAAGAAATGCCTTTTTAAAATATTTTATTACCTGCCTCTGGTGTTTGCTCAGTTCCTTCAGTCCTCACAGGTTAGAAACGCCATTGTTTAATCTTACAACTTATTGCTGAGAGCAGGGAAAAAGGCAGAACACACCATCCCCAAAAGTAACATGAAGCACTGAGTTAATATTAATATTAATAATATATTGTAGAAGCAATATTCAGAACAGTAACTTTGWATTGAATCAGTAGCGCACTGTTTATTCAACATTATGCCTGTTCTCCATCCTTCAGACGCAGCTAATATTAATGGATGTTATTGGTGTTGGTGGCACGGGGCCTCCTCTGTTCTGTCAGTGAGTTTATTTTACCATATTTATTCATTTACGGTAGAGGTAACGACTTTTCATTTTCTCCCTCTCACTCAGATCACCAGCAGTAATTGGTCCTTGGTTGACAACATAGAGCGATGAGTGTGAACACACATAAAAACAAAAGATCTTCAAAATCAAGTTGAACACTTAATGAAACACTTGTCCTGTTTTGTTTCTTTGGGTTGTTTCCTTTCTGAAAACAAAAAGGAAGAGAAATCCACAAACAGATTTGTCTGTATGTACTGAAGAATGAAGGGTGTACAGATCCTTGCTGACCAGAAGTTCTGGCTTCTTCACTCTGACAAATATGTTGTCAGCCGCACTCACTGCTGCGATTCATCTGAGTGTCTGTAAGCTGCCAGCAGACTGAGGGGGCCGACAATGTCCGAAAGAGACTGATTTTGTGGGTTTTGTGCTCTACACAGCAGTTTATTGGCTGGATGTATGGGATGAACTGGACCACTAGAAATCTGTGAATGAAGGACCTGTTAGATGTTGTTAGACGATCATGACTGGTAATCTCTTGGTAATCAGATTTAATTGACGCACTGTGTGAAATCATCATCATCATCAAATGGAAAACAGTGACATTTCTTTCATTTATTTTCTTTATTCTTTAAAATCTTGAGTTTTGTAAATCACTGCTAGTAGTCAAACATGAAAAGGGGTGTTCTCTGATACCAGTTTTTCCTCAAACTGAGTATAAGTACTTCAGTTTGTGCATTTGCTTTTACAGAGTACTTACTGAGTTAGAACCTAAACATTACACAGTGACTTTAAAAACATATTTCTTTTATTGAGAACCAGGTGGGTCTTTCTTATTGGGCTACAACCCTTCTGACTGGATCAAATCAAATATACAGCATGATGTATGTATACTGATTCAACATTTGAAATAAATAAAAATGACAAACAAGGTTTTCAGTTCAACTTGTATAAATTTCTTCAACTTGAAACTGAAACTTTTCACTTGGAATGTAAACTGTAACACATTTAATGAAGTATTGATACTAGTACCCTGGTATCAATACTGATATCAGTTCAGAGGATCAGGCCTGAAACTGACACCAGGATTAGTATTAAGATACTCCTAAATATGAGTTGAAAAATAATTTTACTGGAAATGGTGCTACTCAGTGTTTCCTGTCAGTGTGAGATGAGCTTGTTTGTTAACCACACCTGTTCATCTGTCTTCAGGTCCACACAGCACCGTGTCCCGCTGCCCACCCAACGAGTACCAGTGTGGAGGGACGGAGCTGTGCATCCACATGAGCAAACTGTGCAACGGGGTCCCAGACTGCACCAGTGGCTGGGACGAGGGAGCCCACTGCAGAGGTAACAGTACAGAGGCTTATATTATACAGTTCTTCAAATATCCAGCRTGTCTGCGAAAAAACTCTTGTGTTCTCGTCGGGCGGTGTGAAATTTCGAGCGGACTTCGTTTTTGTTGTCGCCCCTCTCTTATCGTGCGTTTCTCTCTYCTGTGATCTGCACAGTGTGGAGCCTCAGTGAACTCCCTGTTACACCTCGGTTGTTTAAATACTGGGTTGAGCTTTTTTATTAATTAATATTTTTTCTGTGTTTGAAATTTCAGCCACACCGTTTCTTTATCGTTTCCCCGCCAACCCTTGTGTTCCTTAAATATCCCCTGTGTGTTCGGGGTTGGAGCACTCATTTTAATGTTCTCTGTTAATTGGGGAAGTACTAACCCAAAAGTAGGAACTAGTTTGCAGAGGTTTGCAATATATTTTTAAAAATCTGCTGACTGAGTTGACAGCAGCCGGAACCTAAATGTGAAAAATATAAAAAGAAATGGATGAATTGTGAAAGTGTAACCCTGTTCCGCTAACAAATGTGATTTAAGGTTAACAAGCAATGGCCCAACAAAGGTTAAAGGGATGGTTCAGATTTCTTTAAGTGTTTTAAACCTTTGCTCTATTAAGGTGGCCATCTCTCGCAGCTTTTTTTCCCCCTCATCTCACTGCTGCACATTTGGTTAAAAATGGACTGCGATAAAATATTTAGTAGAAAAACTTGGAGCGAGGCATCAAACCTTGCTGCACTTTCAGGATGGCTAAAGCACTGTGCAGTATTTGTGTGTCTGTCCACCTTCTGATGGAGGCACATTCTGTTTATGTGAGGTTTCAGCAGCTCTTCAGGGGAAAACATGCTGTGCTCAAAAAGACTGACTTTTTTTTTCAGGGCTGCAATTTGCTCTGTTTGTTTACCAGGTTGTGTTTATGTGTCAGAAACTTTTTTTTAGGTGAAAGCTGAAGATAGAGCTTCTTATCTTGGTTTTGTTTGATCCAAAGTAAACGCTCTGCGTCATGGAAGGTCGTTTACATTGTCGCCCATGTTGGTTTTGTAAATCCTTTCCTGGGTTCGCTCACTGCTCAGACTTGTTTTGGAAAATTCCCGGCATGTCTGTAATTTGAACTGTGGTCGTCCCAGCAGGCCTCTGGAGCGCAGCTTGTGTACTCTTCTTGAACTGTATAGAAATTGGTGGGGCAGTGGTTATATGGTGCAACTCCACAAATTGACATTCTCATAAAGAGCACAAAACAAGTCATGGATAATGGCTAAAAAAATTCACCGACAGATGAAATCAGCTGATTCGTGCTGTTTTTTATTATTATTATTATTATTATTATTATTATTTCCTCCTTTGGCTCACACAGGTTAAGGGAATGTTTTCGGTCAGTATTGGAAGGCATAGCATGTACACGTAGAGAAGAGTGGAGATTTTTTTTATCTTGGCACCTTAAAGAGGAGACTTTTTGATCCCAGTGGTGTTTTATTTGTTTGAAGAGTCTGCCGGTACATCTGGGGAAAGTGAATCACTAGTGGCTGGTAGAGCTCGGGCTGCTTTGACACAACCCTGTGTGTGTTTGASGATGACTCACCGTGTCTTGATTTGGACTTCACAGGATGTGCGGCCCACTTTTGAAACTTTGTTGATTCCATTATGATGTTGGCCAGCTGATGGGAAGGTGTTAGCAGAGTACATCCTTTTCTACTGACGTGTAACATTTTAGATGAAGACCTCGACAGCAATACTCTGAATAGTTTCAATTATTAATTTTCCCACTAATATCTCTGTCTGAACAAGAAGCAAACAATTCTACTAAAACACAGAGATGCCCATGCTGCACCAGTAGATGACACTGACATTAACATCACATCAAAACATTAAGGAATCAACATGCATTACTTGGGGAATATGTCATAGGGTTTAAAGTACCTGAGTAAAATCTCCATTTAGGTGCACTTTCACTGGCTACATTTGCTACGGTCAACAAAAAACAAACAAACAAACAAAAAAAACCCTTTTGCTGTAGCCCAGGTTGTGGTCTTGATTCGTGGATTCAAACTCAGACACCCTCTCCAGTGGGAAAGACTGCGATGAAGTTAGTTTTGGGTTGTATATTGGGTATGTTTCCAGGACTTCAGCCAGGTTTTCGTCCGGTCTAACCCAGTGCAGACCATCTGATTTCAGCTGCCCTTGAGCTGCTTGCTTCACCTTCACACACCGTGGTTAGCTTAGAGATCACCAATAAATTATCGAAGGAGCAACAAAAATCAATAGCTTTTAGATGATGTGACCCAGTGACACAAAACTATTGTTAAATTGTTCTACTGAACTGATCGTATGAGGCACGCATTTTAACCTGATTTTAGGGCTTTTTTGTGCAAATTGATTTTTTTCCAATAACTTTTGTTTGGTCCTACAACCCAAGTGTCATGTTTGAAGAGCTGATGAAATCAAGCACCAGTTCCTGATTAAACTCTTGTTAACATGTTCTAATGTTAACTTGCTCATATAACAATAATTTACCCTGAGGTTTTCATACATTTGGTGTTGTGATTATTTCTGCTTTATTATTAAAATGTTTAAATATTCAGCACTGAGACATTTTTCTTCTTACTTCACCACAAGCTATTTGTTGTAGATGGAACAGTAAAAATGAAACAGTAATTGTTAAAAACTCTTGTTAAATGATACACAAATATTTGGACAAAGAATAACTCAACACTCTTTAACATAATAATAAAAAATACATAATAAAAAAATCACAGATTGTCCTCAAAACCTGCAGAATTTGGCCTCCCAGCCTTGTTCTAAATGCCAGGAGAATTTGTTACTGATGTTCAGTATCAATGTTTTTCAGTGGGAGTACCCCCAGACCTCACTTGACTGATCGCTTTGCACCTTTGACACTTGTATAGAGCTTCACCCTATAGATCAGGGGTCTGCAACCTGCGGCTCTGGGGCCACATGTGGCTCTTTGGTCCCTCTACAGTGCCTCTTTGAAAATGTGACCAAACACAACAGAATATTGTTTTTTGTTTTTATACCCACAACAGAAATCAATTTGTAAGCAAATACCTGATCGATATTACCAATGCAAAAAGTAAAACATGTTAGCTTATGCTAGCCTGTTTACTTAAATAATCCAACTTTTATATTTCTCTCAAATCCATAAGAATTACCTTTTAAAGAATATTAAAAACTACATAATAAGAATTAGAAAAAAATAAGCCTGAATAATTCAGTTGTACTATTTTTTATGAAATTAGGTATAAACTATATAAAGTATTTTTCTTGTTTACATGAATATTAAAGATAATAATAAATAATAAAATTCACAATATATTTTTTAGTTTTATAATGTCACCTCCACTGGCCGTAAAAGTTCCAGAAAAGGCCTTGAAAAGGCCCACAGACCACCAGTTGATAATCACAGTTGTAGCTTGTTTTGCGGCTCTGGACACATTTTATTACTGCGTCAGTAGCAGAAATGGCTCTTTTGATTGTAAAGGTTGCAGACCCCTGCTATAAGATGGTCAACTCCCTACTTTCTCTAAATAACTCCTACTCCTAAAACTGACATCTGTGTTTATTGTCCATYCATCCATCCATTTTCTGTACACGCTTCTTCCTTTTCAGGGTTGCKTGGGTCACTGGTGCCCATATCCAGCAGTCACAGTGCGAGGGGCGGGGTACACCCTGGACAGGTCGCAAGTCCATCACAGGGACACACATAGAGACAAACGAGACAAACAACCATTCACTCTCTCACTCACACCTAGGGACAATTTAGAGTTATCAGTTAACCTAACAGTCATGTTTTTGGTCTGTGGGAGGAAGCCGGAGTACCCAGAGAGAACCCACGCATGCACGGAGAGAACATGCAAACTCTACMCAGAAAGGTCCCTGGACCAGGATTTGAACCGGTGACCTTCTTGCTGAGAGGCATCAGCTCTACCAACTGAGCCACCGTGCCGCCTGTGTTTATTGTTTAAAAATAATAATCAGCAATACTTTCATTTTGCAAAGGGTATTTCTTTAGTTTCTCACTCCAGCTTTTCCACCGTTTTACCCATCAATTGTTCACTTGTAGCTCAAAGAGATAAAACACACATAATAGTTTTTTCATTAAGCCTTTTTTTTGTTTTTGTTTTGTTTTCAAGGACACATCAAGACACAGTTCCTTCAAAGATGATGCAAATCAGATCTTTTGTCAGTTTCATTGTTTAGCAGCTGATATCTGAGACAACTCTGATTTGTTATGCCTTCACGTTGGAGACAGCCGTGGCGTCATGTTATCCATCAAAGTCATTTTAATAAGAGCTATATCGTTTTAAAGCCTTGAGGAAATTAAAATGATAAAAAAAATCAGTGTGTCAAGGATGAGCTGATTAGATTTTAGTTGTTTAATGTCAAAGTCTCTGTGGTCTCAAGGAATCACACTTTAGTTAAATGTGACAGAGTGATGTTTAATCTGTGACAAGTCAATAATTTGAACCGTTGTTCAAGAGCAAAAGTAGAGAACAAAATTGTGTTGAAAAACATAATAAATCTAGGGATCCACATTTTTTTCACTTCCCATCTGATTCCTAAATTTAGATATTGGCTGATACTGATACCATTCTGATTTTTATAATTGTAACAGTAGAGCATGTAGTCCATTCACTAGTTGATGGAAGATGATTTACTTTTGTACATCATGTACCTAAACATGTTGCCTGGCTCTAAACAGAAGGTGTACAGCAGCAGGTTGAGCAGCAGCTGTGTCTGAGGCCTGCAGGCAGCTGGATCTTATGTGACGCTTAGCGAGATGAATGAAAGCTGCATGATTACAATCTAATGAATTGTTACATAAATATAACTCGTTCTTCTGCCCTTTGAATCGTTTGCTGCAGGGCTTTCAGCATAAAAAATGGAATAGTTTAGAAATGGGGAAACAATCATTCTTTAAATCTCTACCTGTCGTTTTTCCCCCTTTTAGAATATCGGTCCAACTGCTCCATCAAAGGCTGTCAGGAGAACTGTACCGTCACTCCACTGGGGCCTGTCTGTTATTGCAGGAATGGTTACGAGATCAGTTCTGATGGGAGGACGTGTAAAGGTGAGTTGGTTGCAATACTGGCTACCCTGCATCCTTCAACGATACCTGCGGTTCATTCAGTGAGCGTTTGTGTTTCATTTCTTATTTGAAACTTATGTTTACCTGGTAATACCTGTACAGACTTTGATGAGTGCAGTGTGTATGGGACCTGCAGTCAGACCTGCACCAACACTGAAGGCTCCTACTCCTGTTCCTGTGTGGAAGGCTATCTGCCGCAGCCAGACAACCGCTCCTGCAAAGCTAAAAATGGTTTGTATGTCCACCTGCTTGTCGGATACTTTTAAAGCTAGCTCATTCATATTACCCTTTGTTTCTCTCTGTGTTTGCGTTTCTAGTGCCAGTGGGCCGTCTGCCCGTTCTGCTTATAGCCAATTCCCAGAACATCCAAGCCACCTCCCTGAGTGGCACCACTGTCCACAGCCTGCTGTCCACCAGCACCAAGCAAACGACGGCCATGGACTTCATTTATACCAAGGAAACTGTCTGCTGGATTCACGTGGGAGACTCCCCGTCATCCACACACCTCAAATGTGCCTTGATCCCCAATCTGAAGAGCTTCACGGAAGAAAAGATCATCAACATCACCTTCAGCTTGCACCGTGAGTACATCAAAGTTCAGCATGACTTCAACAAACCACGCTGACAGGGTTTTAATTCGCAAGTCTCAGGTTGCAGAACTTAGAGAGCAAATTTCTTTCCAGATGAATAGATCTTTGAAAGTCTCCCCAAAAAGGTGGAGGCAAAGGGTATGCTGCGAAATGTGTCTTTTAAAGTTGACTCAAAATAAGAACTGAATGGAATCTAAAACTAATCTGAGCATCACCTCCTGTTGAACAGACATCCTGAACCTCTGTACGCTCGATGGCTGCGAGTCATAAATATTATGACAACTCATTAAAACCAGCTGTGCTTTTCCATGTCCTTAAGTTTTCTCCCCAAAGCACACTGGAAAGTCTTTTCTCCTGTAAGAATGAAACCAAGAAAAAAAAGCTCTCAAAGGCTAGGATAGAAAGAGGACGTGTGCACTGACTCGTTTCTGACTTTAAATAGCTCACAGGTCAAAAAACCTCCACTGTGATTTCTTTACTGTAGAATATTTTACTTTAACTGTATGTAGCTTTGTGTTTTACCTCTCTTCCTCCAGTTCACTGTGAATTTGATCATCTTCCTTGTTTGCATCAAGATCCTTGTTGTCTTCCTCCACAGCTCGAGAATTTATCTGACAAACGTTGCCTTTATTGTACCCGACAGATGAAGTCCTTCAGGACAAAAGCTGTAGCAWGCGACYGTTTAGTGCAATGACTTATGGTACGGAGCCCGTGAGGGGACATGGAGGATTTTTTTTCTTTTGCGTTCCCTCGCAAAAGTCGTTTAACACTGCTGTGCCTGCTGGTTTATTTACAAACTCACATGTTCACCATCAGCGAGTTAGCCACCTACTTTAATTCAGCTTCGAAATGAATGTATCACACAGCCACGCATGGAAGTACGATATTTTAACACAGTGCAGCCACGCAACATCAATGTCAATTTTACGAACTTGTGGCGACACATCCTGTTTTGGTAAATGGATATTTCAAAATAAAAGTCTGATTTCATTCAGTTAATACAAAACAAACTTTTGCGTGGGAACGCAAAACAATATTGCAAGGGATTGCAAACGTTTGCGAGGTAACGCAAAAGAAAAAAATCCCTCATGTCCCGTGGTGGGCTCCGTATTTGTTATTTATGGTTTAGTGGTTTAATGCGTTCATCTAATTTTCCTCCTACATCACAGGACCTGCAGTGTGATTATTGCGCATACGTACATTGCGATGCTTAAACGATATATTGTGGAGCTCTAACCTACCTTCTCTTTCCACCTCCGACCCTTTATCACTCTTGCTTTTAGCCAAACTGAATCCTTTTGGTCAGTTTGTGTTTCTGTTAATTAATTAAACTTTATTACAGACTCGAGGTCCACAAAACAACAAGAAAAAGAGATCAACCATACAGTAAAATCCAAGGAAAAAAACTAAAACAAACCGGTTTAAAAGACAGTGCATCCAGACTATGAAAATAAAATGTCAGAAACAGTCATTTCTTTTTGGAGATGTGTCAGTGTTTGATGTTTGGTGAAATTGGTGGACAGCAAACACAAATCCAGGAGCAAAAGATTTGACATCACTGTCAAATGATGAAACAGAGGAAACCAAATAAAAGCCTGCGACAACTACATGATGATATACTGCCGTTATCGAGCTGGGTTTTACACTGAGGAGTGAATGAAGGGCTTTCTGGTGGTGGAAGGTGGGATTCGTCTTAAAGCGTGCGGCGATCAGACAGTGAGACGGCAGCTGACAGCAGCAGAGAAAGGAACAAAAGAATCAGATGGAAGCGAAATGATTTGCCGACAGATTGTTGGATTGCTTTGGCAGGCAAAGAGGAAGGTCTCCCTCAGCTGATGTAGTTACAGTGGAAAATGAGAAAGAGATTGTGTACTTGGCTGAACTTGGTGAAAGCTTCATTTCCCATTTTTATACATTATTTACAAAGTACATTTTGGGGCGAATTACAGATCCGTATTTTAAATCAGACATATTGTTTTAAAACAGTGTCACTCTCACACTGCATGTTGCTGCCATAATTGTGTTGCCTTATGGCTCACATAGCTAATTTTTTCACAATCACAAGGACTTGCATTTGGATGACAGCTCCAAGCATGAAACACCCAAAAGATCAGCTGCTACAATTTCTGAGCTATTAATGCTATATTAACTACACTGACAATAGAATTTATTCTGTTACTTCTGTGGCAATATGAATAAAATCAAACTTCCTCACCGGATTTTTGAGAAGGGGTTATCTGCGGAATCAAAGTGAGCGTGTCACAAGAGTGGGCGTGTCACAAGAGTGGGCGTGTCAAATGCATAAACACTGTGGGCTACGAGGCCTACATGACGGTATTCTTAGACCCTACTTGATCTCTTTAAAGCCTGACCCTGACCCCAACACTAAGGTTAACCAGGAGAAATGTGACCCAAGTAGGGTTCTCCAGAAAAAGTGGTGCCGTACAGTAACGCCCCTTTTGTTCTTGTCCAGTCAGGTGTGTCCCTTTAACAAAGTCCGTCAAATCAGGTGTGTCCCTTTAACAAAGTCCGTCAAATCAGGTGTGTCCCTTTAACAAAGTCCGTCAAATCAGGTGTGTCGCTTTAGAATCGCCTTTCCTTGTGACACGCACACTCGTCCGCAGAGACCCCTACTTGGGGTTTTTAGTTGCAGCAGGACGACAACTTGACATCAGCTGAAATAAAGCTGCAGCTAGAGAGGCAGCAGAATAACAACTGTGTAAGGAGCTGGCAAATATTTAAAAATGCACACCAAACAAAAAAATTTGGACTCATGAGGATAAAACTGTCTATACCGAAGGGAGGCAAGTGGGTGGCCCACCAATATTTTTAGCAGCGGCCATTGCCCCTTATGAGCGCCCCTGGTTAAACCAACACCTATATAGTAAGTTAATTTGCCCAAGTAAATGAAGCAGAAATGCCAAAATTGTTTTGTGCAGTGTGTGGAAATTATAATATAATTGTTTGGAATAAATTTCTTTGTTTCTCAGGGGGTTGCTATTTGAGTGTAGCTGCCAGGCAGCCAGTAAGAAATTGGGTTACATTATTATGTTGACAAGAAATCGAAGACATGTCGAGGCACAAACAAGCTGCAGAGTTTTCTATGCTAAACAATTCCCTTGTTGTGAACTTAAGGCTTTAACAAAAAAGCAATGCAACWCAGTTTTTCAAACATAGCTTGTTTGAAAAACCATGATTATAGTCATGATTGTTCCTCTTGTTTGTGTTCTTTTGGGTGTTCCTTTAGATTTCGTACGAATACTTTGACCGATCTGCTTGGTCTGCATGCGGCTTGTCTCTCTTCGTACATCCTTTCCATTGGACTGAGAAATGCGGCAACATGACAGAAATCACTAAGTGTAAACAGGTGCAATGAAAAGTCCAAAGGATGGCAGTCAGGCAGCTCTGCTTTCCACATGCCTGCACAAAAACAGGGGAGCTGTCATTTGCAGGAATGCTCTGTTTCTTTTAAACCAGATAATAACCGGCGAGCTCCGATCGAGGGAAGTGTTTATTCCACCAAATTAAAAGCAAGATGGAACTCGATCCGTCTCTGTTTGCGTCTCGCAAATGCTTCGTCTGGTATTAGTTTTTAAATCCTCAATCAGACAGATTTGTCTCAAAAAGAAAAGAAAGGGAGCCACATAAATARAGCTGAAATATAGTGAGTGTAATAAAAGTCACAAATTATTGCTGTTTGTTGTAATCTTTCGTGGCGTACAAGTGAAATATTGAGTTAAGGTCTAGAAGAATAATAGCAGCTTCATCTGGTTATACACACACACAAGTTGGTTTTTCTATCCTTGTGGGGTCTTTGCATTGACTTCCATTCATTTTCCAGTCATTTCTGTAGCCTAACCCTGACCGTTTACTCTAAACCTTACACATACTTACACCCTAGCACATACCTAACCCTAAATCTATACTAAACTCAATTCATACCTGGGTCTTAAACCTAACCCCCCCACCCAAAATCAGCATCCGTACTAGGACCAGGCTATGGTCCCCGTGAAGAGCATTGGGTCCACATAAAGCTATGCTTTTCTGGGAAATGGTCCCCATGATGTAGCAAAAATGTGTCCACACACACATACACACTGTWGCTTTGGTATGCAGCCTTACTGATAGGCACATTTGTGCACCCAYACAGAAGGACAGGATGTGCATGACAGATGAAGAAGGATTTGTGCTCTGCAGCTGAAGTAAGGAAGCAATCAAAGGCCACTGCACTTCCTGTATCTAAGTGACCTTATTGCTTTTTTCCTCGTGTCAATATGTCCTTGTTTGCATTAAAACTAAAAGCACAACAGATCTCGTTTGAGGGTATTTTGATTGTCAAACTATACCAATTTCTAGAATAATGTTATTATTTTTCAGATTTAGCTGGGTAAATCCAGAATGCTTTTCTGCATCTATTTACAACGTTTTTCTCATCTATTCCGTTCGGTAATGTGAAGTGACTCCCCAGACAGCAGAGCTGGTCCTTCCTGGACTCGAGGCTCAGTGTGACAGAATAAGAGGAGCAGRTTTGTGCTTACAGTCAACCAAAAGCAGGGGTGAACACAGAGGAACCTCTGCACGTGTGGTTTGAGTATGCCACAGATGACTTGTCCAGATGTTTGCCCCCCCACCACCCCACCCCATCCTCTGTTTTTCCCTCAGCACTCCCAAATTTCAGCCCATATTTGACAGTGTTTACCAGTGGCTGTTGCTAATTATACCAGTCTGCTCAAAACACTTGAAAACATGCAGTACCAACATTCAAGTCAATGGTTTGTTTTGTCCCTAGACATGCTGCAGAACTCCTTTTTCCCACTCTGATCTAGTTACTGTTTTGTAAATGTACCAAGTAAAAACAAATTATTCACTAAAAAYATGATTTTTTTGAATTATTTATCTCATGTCTGAAACATTCCATTAAGTGAAGCCAGCCTTCTTAAAAGGTCCAGCAGTGTTTGATAAGCTGTTGCTGCTGCTGCTGAAATTAAAAT